GCCGGAGCGAAGGGTACCGTTTGAGGCTGGAGGAGAGCTGCCAAACGTCGTCGGGGTCCATCCCCGCGGGGTCTTTTCTGTGAGCTACGAGGAAAATACTCTTTTCTTTGTATGAGGTATAGATAGTCAGGATTCCCATCATCACAAAATATGTGCAAAAAGAAGTTAAGGAAACTAAAAAGTTGCAATTAGGGGTAGAAATTAGGCAGAGAAATTGCTCGGAGCCCCTCGGACACCGTTGTTTAACCACCTCTCATGACATTATCGTTCCGAACAGGATGCTTGGCGGATGCCTCGTTAGCATGAGAAATTAAATAATTATTGGGACACTTCCTTAAATCTTTGCCCGTTGCACGAGAGCATTAATCAATGCCTGGAAGCGGTGGGGAAAGCGGCAACTCCCGAACACGCTTTCCCGAAAGGGATTTCTCCAGCCACATAAAACGCTTCGTTCGTTCGTGAAACCGTGAAGCAAAGCGGAAATCACGACGACGAAATGCTCTCTTCAATTATTTTGCTAAATTTGCGGAGCAACATCTTGTCGGGAGAGGGTGGGAAAACATGAGACCGAACGAGCCACAGAATTAATTGCTGCGCGTTCCTCCCAAGCACAGACCAAGCAACTGATGTGTCTCGTTTTTGGAATTCAGTAATTTGGAGTGCTGCAAGACGAATTATCTCAACGTTTGCGCTCAAAGCCAACCAGAAGAACCGTAGCCCGGAACAACAAAATGACTTGCCCAAGATCAGGCAGCCGTGAGCAGTACAGCGACTCCCGGGCCGGCAATAAGTTTCCAGGCTACCAGTTCACGCTGCCTCGCTGGTGCCATCAAAGCCGCCCTTGAAAGCAGGCTCGTCGGCAGCTCTTGGAAGGCATCGCTCATCTGTCACGTACATCTGTCACTTCTTGGCCCAGGCGGCCAAGAAGGCCAAGGGCATCCTGGCCTGTATCAGAAATGGTGTGGCCAGCAGGAGCAGGGCAGTGATCGTGCCCCTGTACTCGGCCCTGGTGAGGCTGCACCTCGAACACTGTGTTCAGTTTTGGGCCCCTCACTCCAAGAAGGACGTCGAGGGGCTGGAGCGTGTCCAGAGAAGGGCAACGAGGCTGGTGAGGGGTCTGGAGAACAAGTCTGCTGAGGAGCGGCTGAGGGAGCTGGGGTTGTTCAGCCTGGAGAAAAGGAGGCTGAGGGGAGACCTCATGGCTCTCTACAACCACCTGAAAGGAGGCTGTAGCGAGGGGGGGGTCGGTCTCTTCTCCCAAGTAACAAGCGATGGGACGAGAGGAAACGGCCTCAAGTTGCGCCAGGGGAGGTTTAGGTTGGACGTGAGGAAAAATTTCTTTACTGAAAGAGTGGTTAAACATTGGAACAGGCTGCCCAGGGAAGTGGTGGAGTCCCCATCCCTGGAGGTATTTAAAAGACGTGTAGATGAGGCGCTGAGGGACATGGTTTAGTGGGCCTGGGGGTGTTGGGTTGACGGTTGGACTCGATGACCTTAGAGGTCTTTTCCAACCTTAATGATTCTGTGATTTAGGCTGCGAAACCTCTGCAGGCGTCTATCTTGCTAGAGGAGCTGCAGGGAAATCGGTGCCACGCTGACCCAAACAGGAAAAAAAAACCAACCCCAACCCCCAGCGTGCTGCAACACTGGAAATCTTACAGTTGACTTCTAAACAGAGTTGACATCTAAACATGCGAACCCCGATTCGTAGCGCTACCCTCCTAAATGCAGCGTCTGCTCCCCTTTGGCGGAGGTGCTGGCAAGAATTACCTCTGTTTTACTCTTCGCTCTTGGTACCGGATCCGTCAGATCAGGAAAGAGCAGATGTCTCTGTGACCAGGCTACAGGCAGAATTAAAAAAAAAACCGTAGCCAAAACACAAAACCAACCCCCGAAGCTTTCAAGGGCTGATCTTCAGTTTGAGATTAGCACACCTAAGTGGAGGAGACTCCACAGCGGTCCGCGTCTGAGATCTGGGAAATCACCTCAACGCAGCCGGGAGCCTGGAGAGCGGGTCAGCTGCCCAGGCGGCTGCTGACTCCTCCGACGTGAGCTGAATTGCTGGTCCAGGCTTCCCCACCGCTGCAGGGGAAGGCTGGACCCACAGATCACCCAAATTTAGGTGTGTCACAGCCAGCCAGGCAGGAATTTTGCCATCACGTGGAAACTATTTGATTATCAGCTGATCTCCGCAGCAGGGGCAGCAAAACTCCCACGGGCCTGAAAATGGGAATACAGAGAAGGGTTTTCTTGTGCTTCATGGGGAAAATAAAACCCTTTTGGTATAAATGAGGCAACATCTGTAAAGGATATGATACAACACAAAAGGCAAGAACGGGTTTGGATTCAGGAAAAGGGTGCAGGTAATCCCAAATCAAAGCTACAATCGCGAAGAGGCAAGAGATCGTGCAGATGATGAGGCGGCCGTCGATCAAACGGAAATTTTCGACGTACTTGTATTTCTCCAGGAGAACCTGCGGGAGAGACACGCAGCCGAGTTTATTTTGTGCGTTTCAAAAATTTGACACACCGCTTCTGGAAAGGATTTAGATAAAACAGCCGCAATTATATGGGTAAACCGAGCAGAAACTTTACGCGGAATTCATGCCTGCATCGGACATCGTAGTGACTGCCGATGCTCTAAGCACAAACACTGCTTTAGCCATGGGAATCACAAGAGACGCTACGGAACCAGCACACATACGGGCACTTCACGAGCAAACCAAAACAGTTTACAGAGTTTTTAAACTGAACGTAGAAACTTGAGAAAACAGAGTGTTTCCCAAGAGGGAGAAATCAGCAGTCGCAGAACGTACTTTTTTGGCAGAATCGTCCAAAGAATTTTTCACAGCTGAACCGTCCCATTTGTCAATTTTTACCGGCTTGTCGTCGATCTTCCACTGCAACGGAAACCAAACGGAGTTAAGCAAATTTGGCACGGGCTAGCCTTTCGTTTTAATACGCTTGTTCCCGTCGCGAGCACAAAGACAGGAGGCAACCCAGAAAATACCTACCTGTTTGGGAAAACCCGACCGGAGGCGGAGGGAATCCGCGGCCTGTCACACAGCTGTATCGCACCAAAAGTCACCTCAAGCACCAACGTACCCATTACCCTTGCAGATCTGAGCTTGGACATCTTGTCGTGGGTACTGAAGGTATCTGAAGTGACTTTTTACCTCAGTTGTATTCTAATTTTGATTCCGCGTTCGCTGCTCCCGCTGCCATCCACAGGAAGTGTCAGTTATGACTTAATTCTTGCCTTTGAAGGTATTCACGTTTTTCAGCCAAGCTGTTACAAACAGACTCTTTGAGGGTTGATGAGAGAAGGAAAATTTCAAGGCACCCTTAACAATCCGGGTACAAGGGGAGAATATAAAGGCACGAACAAGAAATGAAGCTTCAGTCAGACCATCCCCCAGAACGAAACCGAAAGCCTCCGTCACTCTTCTATATTCAGATTTTCCTCATAATCTGTTCCGTCATCAGTAATGACTCTCAGATACAACGGCTCAGCTTTTCAAAGGGGTCGGTCTTCCTCTGAACTATATTATTTTTTGGTAACGTTATTCCTTTTAGCCACAGTCAGACACACGAGCTTGAGCCCTGTGTATTTTAAGTTGCCAATTATTTCAAACAGTTGAGCGACGTGAGCTCAAATTTTAGCTGCCATTAGAAGCAATCCCCAACTTCACTCCTGTTATTTCCCGCTCTCGGAGCTCACAAGTTGGATTTATTAACTACCTGTCAGAAGAGCTCATTTCCCTTCTCTGGCAGGAACGAAACCATTTTAAAGTAAGACGTAAAACCTGATCTACTTCCCCTACACTCGCGCAGGGAAAAGCCTGATTATCCTTCAGGCTCTGCAGGTATGAATTATTAGGTGCACAGTAAATGTCACGGCGCGTGCACATGCAGTAGCTGGTTTACGAGGGACAAAAGAAACAGCCAGAAGCATTTAAAAGTCCCGGACAACCGGGAAAAAGCTCTCACGTCGGTGTAAGTTACAAAATACTTTAGGTGGCTACTTTTTCGCAGCCACCAGTTTTTCCTAAGGTTAATTAGCACACATGACAGTTGAAAGCCAAACCCTTCCCCATGAAATAATACAGAACAATTCTTTCAAAGATTTATTTTTCCTTATAAAAGCATCTACAGCAGTTTTATTTCTTGCCCTTTGGAATTCCCAAAGATTAAAGTATCAAGAGCTAGACTAGGGGGAGGAAAAAAACACCTTTTTTCCTAATTAGTGAATTGGAAGTCAGAAGTCTCTAAGTAGTAACACCAACACCCAATCCCTCTTTCCTCATCTCACAGATACATCAAAAAAGCTTTGAGGAAACCCATTCAGACTTGACCTCACCGCTCCCAGGTGCGGCCTCCATTTCTCGCGAGGGAGAGGAAGGAAAGCCAGCGAGCCTGCCGAGGTGGAAATGTACTCTGCTTAGCAGAACCCGAAACCCGAGTACTTTTCCTGAAACAGCACCAGCTACTTCTGCTACAGGCTGATTCTTGTAGGGTGCAGAAAAGTCCCGTTATTTTAAAGACAAAAATATTGACTAGTAAGACATGTGCAAGACGCAGCACAGCTGGACTCGCTACTGGGTACGCCGATAACTGAACCCTGAACCCAACTGTGGCTGTGGGGAAACGTCCTGTCCTTTATTGTACTCGTACAGCTCGAGTGAAGGCAAGCCTTACCCGGGAGGGAAGGCGTCATTCACCCCGCAGAGTTTAGTTTTTGTTACTGACAGAAATCCCGGAAAAGGCTCAGTCTTTGTAGCCGGTCAACCCTTCCCCCTGCTGCTTTTTACGAATAATAAAGAACAAAATGAATAAGAAGTTTTTAACGGCACAAGGAACCTCAGCAGGCCACTTGAAGCCTTCCTTCAGACCAGATCTGCCTTTAAGCACAGTTGTGATTTTTTTTTTTCCAAAGGCCGCTAAAGGAATCATTTTGAAGAAGTAAAAAATACATCTGTGCAAATATTTTGCCTAACAGTTTTCCACATTTCTAGGGCTAAAACAAGACAATCCTTAGTATAAAATATGACGGCGTTCTCCAGCTTGTTCCTAAGAGAGAGCAAGAATCCAGAGATACTTGAGAAGGTATCGCTCGAGTGATATTTTTGTGATATGTTTTACGATTAAATATTTAATATTGGAATCTTTGCTTCTGGCAACAGCACGGTTTACCTGGTATTAAAGCACAATGCATCTATCCCATCACCAACGCTCAAGTTTTTAATCAATCTTATGATGTCTGGTTTGTCTTCCTAAAGGCCGTGAGGATGGAATCAAGGCTTACGCTAAAATTTCTTCTCCTCTCCTCCCAAATACAACCAACAGCTTTTCTAGATATACTTGAAGACAGAATAGCTGGAAAACACCCAAGAGAAAAGCTCAGGAATCAAGAAATAAATGAAAATAAAGCCCAAGGCCTTTTTTAAAAACCTCAGGATTTTAAAGCTGTTTTATAGGCACCCTGGAAACCAGCCCCGGAGGCACAGGACTGCTAACACTTCACTTGCAGAAAGGATTTGCGCGGAGGGGAATATCTGTATGTAAAACGGGTCGAGGCACTGCCATAACAACGTATATCCAGGAAGCCCGTGACAGAGTGAGAGCTGGATTCTTGCTTCTTGCTCTCTGTCCCGAACCACCTGACACTGGAATTGCCAGATAACATCCGTGATATTTAACTGATACTGATCTCTTAACAGAGAACCAGCACTTTCAGGGGTAGATGTCAAGCCCACATGACATATTTTTTGAAATAAAGCTGTTACTGGGGGGAAAAAAAAAATAAAAATCTAATCTTAGACTGTCTGAAGCAATGAGCTGAACCAGCAGTTCTTCAGTTCTCGTTCAGGCTTCCCTGCGACTGAGGCTGTTCTGCTTCAAGACAGTAACAGCTTGATAATGCCAGTGCGGTTCATGCCAGAAGGGACCTTGTAACAGGGACACATCTGCGGTTTGGGACTTCAGCCAGGGAGAAGCTTTAGCCCTCCCTTTACCTTGGTCTTGATGTTCCCACGAGGTTACTCCTCCTAACACGGTACAGCACCGCAGGGCTGCTGCTGCTGCTTCTCTTAATTCTTCCAGGCTGATCTGCAGGACCAAAGAGCTAGGGAGAGGCTGGGACGCTGCGCTGGCACCTGCAGTGCCAGTGCTGTGGAAGAGGAGCAGAAGGAGGTGCTCAACGGAAACGATCAACATCCGCGCTACCTCTGTGTCCAGATGTGCACAGAAACGTATGCACATCTGGACACTGATGTCTATATACCAGTGCAGCCCGGGGCAAAACCGCCGACTGATGGCCATCCCCACGTTCAGCTTGGAAGAGAGCCGGCGATTCGGCCCCTACCACCAAGCGCTCACCCTCAAACAGGGGGGAAAGCCTCCACCCCTTCTCGGCTCTGCAAAACAGCCCTGCCTTGCCTGCACAGGTTGGGGAGGGAAGGTGAAGCTGCACGGATGTCCTGTGGAGCCTGGCAGATGCAAACATGCCTGCTCCTCCAGCTAGTGGATGGTATTTTTCAACCAGTTACTTATTTTGAGCACTTCGAGTACGAGCTCCAAAGGCTTCAAAAGAAAAGCTCAGATTTGGTTCCAGTCTGACGGAGGAAAAGAAAAACCCAACCTGTTCAAAACAGTTTTTTAGTCTGTGTGTGATTTGACTCCTTCGTTTTAAAAACCAAGTGACAGGTTATCATACTTGTCCTGAACACGTCCTAACTATGAATGGGAAGCAAATACGGTGTTCTACAGCCAGGCACAGCTAGGAAGTGGATTTGGTACCTGAAAGCGTACCCGTGTAAGAACAAGGCTTCAGAGCAAAGGCTGAAATATAGCCAGCGGTTACCTTACTTAAAAACAAAGAGTAAAATCAGAAACGCCATTTCAGAAAGCCGCAAAACCGATCCGACACCAGAAGCACGCAAGGGCCCCAGCTGCTCACACCGGAGTAAAGATGCTGCCTGCAGCTGGATTGCAGCAGGGGAGCATTCTCTGCTCCAAAAAATGGGACAGCAGAGCAAGTGCTTGCTTTCACAGCAGACACCGCAGGATCTGAGCGCTCGCAGGGCTCGTTTGTCAAGCCATCACCTTCATTTAAATCCCCTCCCAAAGCTCCCTCATAAGCAGGAGGCACGGAAAAATCCTACGGGAGAAATTTCAAGATGTTCACATCGCAGAAGAAAAACACAGCACAAACTTAACTTCCCCCCCCCCCCCTGCCTTTTTTCCCCCGCCCCTCCCCTCAA